CAGCTGTTGCGCAGCATGCAGCACATGCTGGGCAGCGCGGGCCACGACCTCGGCCTTCTCAGGACGCTGTTCCTGCAGCGCCTGCCGCCGACGACCCGCGCCGCCCTCGCGCTGCTGCCGGAGGACACTGGCATCGACGACCTGGCCAGCGCGGCCGACCGCTTCCAGGAGGCCTCTGGCGGCGCCGCCGTGACTGCTGTCTGCACGCCGACGGCCGGTGTCGCTGCCGCCTGTGGCCCGCCGGCCGGCCCTGGGGTCACGCTCGCCCCGCCGGCCAGCGCGGTGGCCGCCGCCGGACCGCCCGCCGCCTGCGGGTGCGGTAACTCCGGCATGGCCGCTGCCGTCACCGCCCTCACCGCTGCGGTAGCACGAATCGAAGCCGTGTTCCAGCGGGGCGGTGCCGACGCTCCTCGGCGTGGCCGCTCCCGCTCCCGTCCGCGCCGACCCGCACCTGCCTCGTCTGGCAGTTCTCAACCGGCATCGGTGACACCTGATGAAGGGTACTGCTGGTACCACCAGAGGTACGGCGCGGAGGCCCACCGCTGCAGACCGCCGTGCTCCTGGTCGGGAAACTAGCCCGCCTGTCCGCGCTAGCGCCAGCGGAGACGGGCCGGCCAACACTGGCGCCCCTCTTCTATGTCACCGACCTTGCCCGGAACTGGCGGTTCCTCGTCGACACCGGCGCACAGGTGAGTGTCGTCCCACCACGAGTCGTGGCCGACGGCACCACTGTGCAGCAGCCCGACGCGCCTCGACTGGAAGCAGCCAACGGCACAGAGATCAAGCTCCATGGCGTTATCTCGACTTCGGTGCGTTTCGGAACAGTGGACTACCCGTGGACATTCATGGTCGCCGACGTATCGATGCCGATCTTGGGAGCTGACTTTCTCGCCCATCATCGTCTGCTGGTGGACATGCGCCGTCAGCTCCTCCAGGCTGAACACGGCACAACGTGCGCCGTGGGCACCCGAGCCGACATCGGCTCCGTCGGAGTGCGCATGTGCGCGGCGCCCACTCTCGCAGACTTGTTTAAAGAGTTCCCTCGAGTGACAGCCACATCTGCGCAACTCCTGCCCGTACGCCATAACGTCACTCACCACATCGTGACACGTGGACCTCCTCGTGTAGGGCACCCTCGGCGTTTGCCGCCCGACCGCCTCCGCATCGCCCGTCAGGAGTTCGACAAGCTGATCAGCCTCGGGGTCGCCCGCCCATCCAAGAGTAGCTGGGCGTCGCCCCTCCACATGGAGCCTAAGAAGGAGCCCGGACAGTGGCGCCCGTGCGGCGACTACCGCGCCCTGAACGCCGCCACCGTCCCGGACCGGTATCCCATACCGTTCCTGCAGGACTTCTCCGCGAACCTGCACGGCTGTACCATCTTCTCGAAGATCGACCTCGTCCGCGCGTACCATCAGATCCCGGTCGAACCCGCTGACATCCCGAAGACGGCCATCGTCACACCGTTCGGGCTATTCGAGATGCAGCGGATGAGCTTCGGTCTTCGCAACGCCAGTCAGACATTCCAGCGCTTCATAGACGAGGTGATGCGCGGGCTGACGTGCTGCTACGTGTACATCGACGACATCCTCATCGCCAGCACGTCCGTCGAGCAGCACCGCCGTCACCTCCGTCAGGTACTGGAACGTCTCGACCAGTTCGGCGTCACGATCAACCCAACGAAGTGCGTGCTGGGCGTCAACCGTATCAGCTTCCTCGGTCACGATGTGTCCCCGGACGGCATCGCCCCGCTGCCGGAGAAGGTCGCCGCAGTCCAGGAGTTTCCGCAGCCGACCACGCAACGCCAACTGCGTAGGTTCATCGGCCTGGTGACCTACTATCACCGGTTCCTGCCTGGTGCTGCCGGCCTCCTCCGACCACTTCACCACCTGCTGGACCAGAAACGCAAACGCGCGGCGCCGGTGGAGTGGACGCCAACCGCTGAGGACGCCTTCCAACGCGTGAAGGCTGCCCTGGCTCAGGCCACGCAGCTCGCGCACCCCACTCCCGGCGCAGCGCTGAGTCTGCAGGTCGATGCCTCTGACACCGGCGTCGGCGCTGTCCTGCAGCAACACTCGCACGGGACCTGGACGCCGCTGGCTTTCTTCTCGAAGTCACTCCAACCAGCAGAGACACGCTACAGCACCTTCGGCCGTGAACTGCTCGGGGCGTATCTGGCGGTCAAGCACTTCCGGCACACTCTGGAAGGCCGCCAGTTCGCCATCTTCACCGACCACAAGGCCCTCGTGTCGGCAGTCTCGTCCGGGTCAGCCAGCTACTCGCCGAGGGAGATCCGGCACCTGGACTTCATCTCCCAGTTCACCACCGACATCAGGCACGTGCCTGGGAAAGAAAACGCAGCTGCGGACGCTCTGAGTCGAACAGTGGCGATGCTCTCAGCACCCTGCCCGCCAGTCGACAACTTCGACGAGCTCGCAGCCTGCCAGCAAGAGGACGAAGAGCTGGCGCGCTTCCGCTCGACAGAGCACGGGCTCAAACTCAGAGACGCCCGGCTCCCCAGCGGCCGCACGCTGGTCATCGACGAGTCCCAGGGTGTACCGCGGCCGTGGATCCCGGCACCGCTCCGGCGCGCCTACTTCCGGCACGTGCACGATCTGGCCCACCCGGGAGTGCGCGCCACCGTCGACCTGGTCACGCGGCGGTTCGTGTGGCCGTCGGTGAAGAAGGACGCCGCACTCTGGGCGCGCACCTGCGTCCCGTGCCAGCGCACCAAAGTCCACCGGCACACGACAGCGCCGCCCGCATCGTTCCCGCCACCTGCCGACAGGTTTCGACAAGTGCACGCCGACCTGGTCGGCCCGCTGCCGCCGTCTGAGGGCTACTCGTATCTTCTGACGGTGGTGGACCGGTACAGCCGCTGGCCGGAGGCGATCCCGCTGCGTGGCATCACGGCGCGAGAGGTCGCCCGGGCGCTGATCTCCGGCTGGATCTCTCGGTTCGGCGTCCCGGACGAGATCATCACCGACCGGGGCAGCCAATTCGAGTCGGCGCTCTGGGCTGAGCTGTCCACTCTCCTGGGCTGCGCGCGGCGCCGGACCACCGCGTACCACCCCCAGGCCAACGGGATGGTGGAGCGCCTGCACCGGCAGCTTAAGGCCGCGCTGCGCGCCGCCGCGCCCGCCCGCTGGACGGAGGCTCTTCCTTTGGCGCTGCTCGGAATCCGCTCGGCGCTCAAACAAGACCTGGGCTGCAGCACTGCCGAGTTGGTGTACGGAGCGCCGCTCCGCCTACCTGGTGAACTCATCACCCCGTCCGCCACCGCGCCTCCTACGCCGGAATCATTCGCCGCCGAGCTTCAGCGCACCATGGCGGCACTGCGCCCGACGGCACCACGACCAGCACCAAGCGCGCCGTCGTACGTGCCGCGCGCGCTGGACCACGCCTCGCACGTGTTCGTGCGCCACGACGCAGTGAAGCCGCCGCTTGCACCGCGTTATGACGGACCATACAAGGTGCTACACAGATCGGCGAAGACGGTCACTGTGGACCGAGGCGGTCGTTCCGACGTTATCTCCATCGACCGAGTCAAACCGGCGCACTTGGAACGGTCCCCGCCTGCTCCAACTCCGACAGCATCGCCGTCTGCGGTCCAAGACACGGCGCGTTCCGCCGACTCGGCAACACCGGCCTCCGGCCCAGAGCTCCTCCTGCCAGTGCCTCGCGCACCGAAGCCGCCGCTTCCGCCACCGCGTGGCGACCTGCCGCTACAGCCGCCGCCTCCGCCCGCGCCCCCACCGCCGTGCCTACGGACGACCCGCTCCGGCCGTGCTGTACGACCACCAACGCGTTTTCTTAACGTCACGTTCGCAGTGCCGTCTCTAGGGGGAGGGTGATGTAGTGCACCGCCGCACGTTCTCCGACGTTGCGCGGCACTACCGCCGCTGGCGACTGGCGAGCGCTCCGACGCGGGGCGGCGCCACCGTCGACCTCAACGTGGCGCTGCTGTCGCAGCTGACGCGAGGCGCAGGTTCAGCGATATCCGCCAGATGGCTCTGCTCCACTTGTTCATTTCTATGTCCGATTTATTAATGTTTTAGAAATGTATGTTCGTGTGTATGTATCATAATGTTCATCGTCGTGTGGCCATTCATGCACTCTACTAGAAAGTATCTCTCGCTCTGATATACGTTTTCTCACTGCTTTGTACTGTCCTTAACTTTGCCAAAACGAACTATGGTTTCATCGCTGCGATCACTACATAGCTTGCTCATGCTGATTCAAATACATCGCTATCCTTGGCCGATCCAAGTGTTTGGGGGAGACGGCTCCACATCAGGGAACTTCCCAGCCCGTCGTTGTGTGGAATCCCAAGTTGCGAATCCCAAACACTGGAACGGCTTCATCCGGCTTAGAGCACGACCCGCCACGGCACCAGCCACACTATAAATGTTTGTAAGCCGCAATGACATTAGACTGCCGGAGTGTATGCATTTCGTCTCATTCGATTAGCCATGTTAAAGTATAGGGCGCAATTGGGTTCTAATTGCGCCATCCCCCTGGCGCAATTTACATCAGTTGTTGGCAAATGCGCCCTTTTCCATGTTTCTGAAAAAGCAGCTGTTAGAAGCAAACGAAACATTCTTAATTGATCGGGAGGCTCTTAAATCGTAGCCAATGAGTTCCTCTTTGAAATGGTTACCAGGGCATGCTTATATCTCCAGCGGTTTTCTTACAATTAGCGTTTTTCCTTAAGGTGGCGCAATTCACCCTCCTTCCCCTACTTTTTGTACCTCGACGGTGTTTGATAAACTAACCACCTTCATTTCAACTTCGATAATAAAAAGAAGGGATGTGATAGGGAAGTGTACGATCATTCTTTTTAAAATACCACTCACTTTAAATAGTGCATTCGGCGTAATTGTAGTCTCTGTACAATATTCATAAAATACTTTGGTGTAAAATAAACCAGCTTTTTCTGTGTGCGGTCTGCGCAACATGGCGGCGCCCACTGGACACCATCTGGCGGCCGGAGCCGAAGCTGATGCAGTGGTGTGCTGTGTTTGTTTGTCATTTCTTGGTGACAAACAAACTCTTTGAAAAACACAACATACGTGTTGTGTTGTCCCATCGTTGATTGGCGCACAACATGGCGCAGTGAAATATACCAAGAAGGAATTTATTTTTTTGCGTTTTTTACAAGGCTACATGTTGGACGCTTGAGCCAAGCTGCTGCGCGCCCTAACTCTTCAACAACAACAACAGCAAGGCTACATAATAAGTACTCTCCCCACCATTACGGCCTGTTTATACGACATTGACATATAGGGCCTTGTATACGGCTTTAGACTATTTACGGCATTTTCTCCGCTAGTTTCCTGCGTTCCTAGGTACGGTACAAACTGTGCGGCCTCCTGTATCAAGCATACAGGATCTCCCGTAACTTATACGGCCTTGCTCCCGTTTATTGGTTTTGATGGGGCGAGATTAGCCAAAATGCCCTCCTGCTTTTATTGAGATGTAGAGACACATTTTATTGGTGAATGGACAATGGTAGTAGGGTGAAAGACCTTGGATAATCGTAGTAAAGAAATAATGAGTAGACCATAACAAGACTAAGCTGGTCGAAGCTTGGAATATCAGAATAGGTAGGTACACACGGGGGCAGATTGGCTGCCAGTGTTGCCTGCCCTCAGCACTGCTCAGCACTGCCTGCCAGTGCCAGTGCTGCCACTGGCAGCAGCCAGTGCTGAGCCATGGGATCCCAATGGGTAGGGAGTAGTAGAACATCAATCTGCCCCTGAGTGTACCTATAACATACATGCCTGCTTAGTTCTGGCGACTTTATTCACACTACTGCATAATGCATATGCCTGCTCGTGTGATGTCTGCCTTACCAATACTGGTGCTTCCTATTGAAGAAAGGATCCTGACTATCTCAGGCAGCTTTTGCCAAATTGTCAGGGAACTCGGATTTGTTTTTCAATAGAAAAACACAATTCTGAAGAAAAGTGTTTTAACTATTGACAACAAACCTTCAACAAAACAAGAGTCAGCTCCCCCATCCCCTGTCCTCCCTCTGTATGTGAAGGAGTCAGCTCTCCCCTTCCCTGTCCTCCCTCTGTAGGTGAAGGAGTCAGCTCTCCCCTCCCCTGTCCTCCCTCTGTAGGTGAAGGAGTCAGCTCTCCCATCCCCTGTCCTTCCTCTGTAGGTGAAGGAGTCAGCTCTCCCCTCCCCTGTCCTCCCTCTGTAGGTGAAGGAGTCAGCTCTCCCCTCCCCTGTCCTCCCTCTGTAGGTGAAGGAGTCAGCTCTCCCATCTCCTGTCCTCCCTCTGTAGGTGAAGGAGTCAGCTCCCCCTCCCCTGTTCTCCCTCTGTAGGTGAAGGAGTCAGCTCTCCCCTCCCCTGTCCTCCCTCTGTATGTGAAGGAGTCAGCTCTCCCCTCCCCTGCCCTGTCTGCCCTCAGCAGCGACCATGGGGTCAACTCACCCCTCCCCTGCCCTGTCCGCCCTCAGCAGCGGCCATGGGGTCAACTCACCCCTCCCCTGCCCTGTCCGCCCTCAGCAGCGGCCATGGAGGTCAACTCACCCCTCCCCTGCCCTGTCCGCCCTCAGCAGCGGCCATGGAGGTCAACTCACCCCTCCCCTGCCCTGTCCGCCCTCAGCAGCGGCCATGGAGGCGCCGCACCCGCTGGCCATGATGCCGGCCGGGATGGGCGTGGCTGTGAAGGAGGAGTGGGAGCGCCAGTCGCCGGTGTCGCTGCACTCTGCTCACCTGCAGCACGGCAGCGCGGCGACCCTCCTGGCGCCGCTGGGCCGGCCCGGCCACGCGCAGCACCCGCTGCCGCTCAGCATCATGAGCGTCACCATGCAGGAGCCGGGTACGTGTTGGTCCGTGGAGGCGCCCAGTGCCGCCCAGTGGTGCCCAGTGGGCCACACACGACTACCGCTGGGCACCCCTGCGTCCTAGGCTAAATCGCTGGAAATTCGAAGTTTGATTGCTGACTGCTATTTAGTGCATGGTATTTTACTGACTTTTTTATTGCGTATGTCTTGGTTGTCTCGGTTGATACCTCCCTGACATTCCATGCCCATTGCCCAAGCAGCTGCAACAGTGGGAAAGACCTTCCGTTCTTTGGGACTGCTTCGACGCACTTTCCTGACTCTAGACGAAGACACCCTACCACTTCTGTTCAAGACGATGGTTAGACCTATACTGGAATATGGAAACTGTGTGAGGTCCTGTCTATTGCGGTGACCAAGACAAGGTTGATCGAGCTCAGAGGCGGGCCACAAAAATTGTATCATCAGTCAGGCATCTAGCATACCAGGAGCGGCTAGATAAATTGAAGTTACCAGGCATGCACTACGGAGGAGAAAGAGGGAATATAATCATGGTGCAACAGATTCTAATTAGAGGACTTAGGATCGACCACAACAAGATCTTCCAGAGAGCACCGTCAGACACAACCACAAGAGGACACTCACTGAAACTGATTAAACCATCGGCAAATCGTGTGCTGAGGTAGAATACTTTCTCATAACAGAGTTGGGACGAAATGGAATAGTGTCCCTGAAGAACTCGTAAATGCCAGAACAGTCAACATATTCAAAAATGCTTTAGACAAACACTGGAAGAACTCGATGAATCGAACCAGAACCGAGTAAACTGCAATTAGTCAATGAGTAGGAAATCCACAGGTTTCATTGTCCTAGCCTATTACCTTTGCTGTAATTCAGTAAGTAAGTAAGTGTATGGGTTGTAGTAGGCAGACCATCTAACTTGTGTTCCTGTTCTCCGGCAGACTGTCTGCTGCTCGGTAACGGCAGCGCTGGCGGCGGCGGGGGCGGCACCGCGGCCGCCCGGCCCCCACCCGAGCCGTGCCGCTGCGAGCAGTGCGGCAAGGTGCTCTCGTGCGCGGCCAGTCTGCGCCGCCACCAGGTGACCCACTCGTCGGAGCGGCCGCACGCCTGCGCCGAGTGCGGCCGTGCCTTCTCCACGGCCGCCTACCTGGCCGCCCACCAGAGCACGCACACGCAGGAGCGGCCGCACACGTGTCCCGTCTGCGGCAAGGGCTTCACGCGCTCCACCGGCCTCAACCGGCACATGGAACTGCACCTGGAGGGTCGCCGACTGCCGGCGCCGCCGCCGGCCGTCAGCTCGGCCGCGGCCGGAGGGGCGCCGCCGCCGGCGGCCACGGTACCGGCGGCCGCGCGCCCGCCGCCGCCGGCCGGCGCCAGTCCGGCCGCCCAGTGCGGCGTCTGCGGGAAACACTTCACTCGCGCGCTCAGCGTCAAGGCGCACATGCGGATCCACACTGGCGAGCGGCCGCACAAGTGTCCGCTGTGCGACAAGGCGTTCAAGAACGCCTCCCACCTGAAGGTACACAGCCGCACGCACACCAAGGAGCGCAGCCACGCCTGCGAACACTGCGACAAGCGGTTCGCCGAGTCGAGCAGCCTGCGCCGCCACATGCTGGTGCACACGGGCGCGCGGCCGTACGAGTGCGATATCTGCGGCAAGGAGATGCGCTACCTGTCCCACCTGAAGGCGCACCGGCGCAAGCACACCGGCGAGACGCCCTACCAGTGCAGCCTGTGTGGCCAGCTGTTCCGGCTCTACCAGACCTACCGACTGCACGTCAAGAAACACGAGGGCCAGCTGCCCACGTGCCACACGTGCGGCAAAACGTTCAGCAGCCGCACGCGGCGCGACGAGCACGCGGCGCTGCACACGGCCGGCGTGATAAACGAGCGCGGCGAGGCGCCGCCGCCGCCCGGCCGGCCGCTGGGCCTGGTGCACCAGCCGGCGCCGGCGCTGCCGCCGCACCCTGGCCGGGCGCTGCCGCTGCGGCTGGACACGCTGCTGGGCCGGCGGCCGGACGGCCCGCAGCTGGCCGAGCACCGGGCCGCCGACGGCCTGCTGGACCGCCGGCTGGACGAGCCCATGGACGAGCTGTCGGTGGACGGGCCGCCGCCGCCGCCGCTGCCGCAGTGAGGGCGGACCGGGCGGGCACGGAGCGGAGAGCAGTGATCTGACCGGCAGGGAGCGGGCCGCGGACGGTCGGCGGGACCCACCGCCTCCACAGCCAGCGGGACGACTGGGGCCGGCGCGTGTTTTAACTAGGATAGCCGCAGAGGTGCGGGCGGCGGCTGACGGGGGGCGGCCGCTCCGGAGACTCAGGTGATTTGTGAATCCAGTGTTAACGCACGAATTTGACCAGTCCGTACGAGGTGACGAGCCGCGCCGCCAACGACCGTTGTACCAGATATATACCTATCAACGGCGTTACGCTGTGTATATTTTTTTCCGTTTTATCTTCAATATTTTATGTTGTGTGCAGCTTGTTCATCATGTTTCGAAGGACCAGCTCTGAAGTGCCGTGCGGGCTCAGTGCCTTTGTTCCCTAAAGGGAAACAGTCATGCTGGCAACGAGTCAATTTTTGCCCAAATTGTGGATGTGGTTCAGCTTTTATTGCTGCCAGGTGACAGCAGTGCAGGCTTGTTCGCTTGTCTTGTGCATGGACGCGCGCGTTCGGACGCTGTTGTACAACTGCGCACGTTAGCTAGTGGACGTAGGCAGGGAAGTGACCGATCCGGTACCGTTCTTTGCCGACTGCTGCCGTTGGGCGCCTAGTCTAGTCGGGCCTCGACCGCGCGCGGTGGGGGTCCGCACCTGCCTTACCGGACGCGCCTGTCGGCGGCGGCTCGCCGGTGTGGTCTGTCCGTTCTCAGTGATTGTGGCGTCCCGGGGTTTCCTTTGGTAGAGGCCGACTGCGGGCCACTGACGTGTCGCTGTGTCGGTGACGAAATACAGTGTGTTATCGTAACTGGCTGCCTGGACTGGCCGTCCGTCGCGGTGTCGGCTCCTATTTCCGTTCAGAGTATGCGTTGGGCTCATCTGGCCTGCCCCATGGGAGCTCAGTCATCAGTCGGACGGCTCTCACCAGTGTTCTGTCCATCGTTTCTGAGCCCGCCCCGCGCCAGCGGAGACCACCGAGCAGTTCAGTGCGTGAGTACTCATATTCACACGACACGGCCGCGAAAGACTCTCCGACCCCACCGGAGACATCGGGAGAGCGGTTATCACCGCACACTGCCGGCGTCTCGGTCCCCGCTGCACGGCACGGCGGCAGGGTCAGCCGGCTATCGGCACCGGATCACCCCGCTGACCCGGGCCCTACGTGACTGAGGGAGCCGCCCGGAGCCGGCACCGTACCCCGGTGGTGTGTCTGGGGCGGGTCTGCCAGGTCGGGACCGGCCACCGCGACAGGGCGGGTAGGAGCGTCTCGCAGGTCAAATAACCACGCACTGCGCGGCACATAGCTGTCCGATCATGGACAGGTTTCACAGAAAAACCAGCGTCGTTGCCATTAGGTAAGTAGCTTTCATCGAAAACAAGCAGCCATTCACGTTCAGCGGTGAACATCGGTTGACACACCAAACATTACTATACGTAATAATTCGTTCCGACATTAGGTCGTACAAGCACGGAGCTCATCACAAGTACAACTTCCATTGCACATCGGCTATAAAATGCCTCTCCACCGGTACATACCCAGATGGAGGGCAGCGCTGCACCAATTAGTAACAATATACACATCATCCCGACACATTATCTAAGGTCAATAAATAAAATCAGTTAATAGGCGGAAATGGAATGTTACAAACAAAACAACAGGGACAGACAATGCTTCCATCGAGATTCTAGAATCTAGAGCTCCGTCAGTAGACAGCAAGACTGAGCTCGCACACGCAAGATGCTTAAAGCAAAAATCCCATCATTTTGATGTTTAAACGTCAACAAACGACCGTTTGCCACAACCTATAAGCGGTTACCACCTCGACTTCTAATGGGGCACATGTCTCAGACGCGCCGCAGCAGGCCGAGGTAATGTATCTCGAATTTGGCATGTGCTCCGCTGGCTTGCGTCCTGATGGTTTTGATTCGGCGGCTGACCGCACTCATATGGCACCCGAGTTCCCCGGGCAGTAATTGGCCGGCCGTCACTGACTTCTGACTATAGAGCGCCGACAATAGTGCGCCGCCCGCACAGCTGCGGCGCGCGACCCTCGTCCTGCCGTCTGCCGGCCGGCAGCGCAGCCGGTCTGGGGCGCTCACCGCCGACAGGCCCGGCACCCCTCCGAGACAGGCGTGCCCCGGGAGACGGTTGTCCTCTGGCGTCTACCGGCGCGCTGTCCTCTGACCGGGCGGCGCCCCTCCAACAGACCCAGCAGCCACCGACGGACGGAGCGCGTCACTTTGTGGACAGGGCGCCCATGGCGCGGATGAGCGCGTCATTCTCCTGCGCCAGCTGGTGTTTCTCCTGCCAGGATCTGGCCAGCTCGGCCTCGAGGGCGGCTATCCGCTGGTCGCGCTGCTGGAGCGCCTGCTGCAGCCGGTGGTTCTCCTCCTCCAACTGGGTAGGAAGGAGGGAGGATAACACGTCAGACACACTGGCACAGGGCGGAACGCGGTCCGCCGGCGTCCAGAACACCAAACGTCCGCAACAGCATTACGTTTCACAGCATGCGAGAGGACCGAGAGCGGTTAACCGGCGCAAAGCTATCATCAGTTCCCAAACACTGACCGGTCGGAGGCAGCTGGGTACTGACTACTGACCTGTCGGAGGGCGGCTGGGTACTGACTACTGACCTGTCCGAGGGCTTCATGGTACTGGCTAGTCACTACTGACCTGTCGGAGGGCTTCATGGTACTGGCTAGTGGCTAGTACTACTGACCTGTCGGAGGGCGGCTGGGTACTGACTACTGACCTGACTGAGGGCTTCATGGTACTGACTAGTACTACTGACCGGTCGGAGGGCGGCTGGGCACTAAACTACTGACCTGTCGGAGGGCGGCTGGGCACTAAACTACTGACCTGTCCGAGGGCGGCTGGGCATTAAACTACTGACCTGTCGCAGGGCGGCTGGGTATTGACTACAGACCTGTCGGAGGGCGGCGGCCGAGGGGTGACCGTTGGCGCGCAGCTTCTGGGCGCCGACCGCCGGCCGGCCGGGCAACTCGGCCTCCTGGTTCTCCTCGTCATCGGCGTCCAGATCCGACTGACTGGAGGGGGAGGGGGAGGCGTCAGGAACGGCATGTAACAGAGTCATCGGCGTCCAGATCCGACTGGCTGGGGAACAGCAGCGCGCCATCATCAGCCTATGGCTGGTCACTGAGGGGCACTGGTCAACCGGGTTTGGGTCCAAACTCGGCCGCGACCGGCGCTGAAAGGCAGTCCCGCATTTGAACCCAGCACCCGACCCGACGCCTATCTGGAGACTGAGGTCACTCCGCCCCTGGGACTCGGCTGCACACTGCCGACTGCGGCCGTACCTTTTATTTCGGAGCTGCGGCTTCTGGAAGGCTCTGGAGGGCGGCTCGGCGGCCAGTCCGACGCACGGATCGGTGAACTCGTTCTGCTGCGTGTTGCGGTACGTCTCTGCGCTCAGCGAGGTCTGCGCCGGCAGCTCCTCGTCCGCCTCGTTCGTGCTGCCACCTGTCGACTGAAATAAGAGGCTTTAGTCCGCGTCTGGCCGCCAGGCGTGTGCCAGACTGGCCCGCCCGCCGCGAAGGAATACTGCCACCGGCAGACCGCACAGATTCCAGTACGATAGCATAAAAACGTGACCTTTACGATGCGCGGCTGTTGTCGAGCCACACAGGTCGCGGCGGTCACCGCACTGCAGCGGCAGCAGCGGCGCGAGTGATGTAACCTCGACTTGCAGCGCACCGAGTCGACTGAACGATCAGTGCGGCTAAAACCCGTCAGCATACTAAGTGTATCGGCGCGGTGGACCCCAGAGCAGAGGAGCCCAAATGTGACTCGCGCCGGTCGTAGCATCTCTATCTGAATAGAAAACAATGCTCAACTTTGGCATTACCTTCCACGGTACGTAGACAACGATTTTTGAAGGTCAACGGACTAGACATTAGAGCTATCATGATGTCGGGCTCCGCCTCCGCCCACTCTACCTGGGCGACCCCCTGCCGTCGGGGCGAGGCGCGGCCCACTCACACTGACTTCTGTGGAGGGCATGTGCTGAACACCGGTGCTGCGGCGCTTCTCGCGCAGCTTCCGTCGGTCCCGCTGCTGCTTCCCCTTGTTGACATGGCCCGGCCTGGGGATCAGAGATACCACACCGGTCAGAAGGGGCTATAACCTGGCCTGGGGAAACAGAGGGACACCACATCAGTCAGGGCACAGTGATGCAAATGGGGTTCACGAGTGGCCATAAATACCCAAAACTCAAGTTTACCAAATCGAGTTAATTGCGATATGGCCGAGTAGACAAATGTTTGGGGCATCTGAAATCACATGGTTTTCATGTTTTTGTCAAAACCGGCCTCGTGTATAATCGTCAGAAGTCGTGACATTTTCTAGGTCGTAAAATGGCGGTCAGACACTCGCAAGTTCAAACGCCGCTGGTTTGCGTTCATTTCGTACAAATTGAAAAAAAAAAAATTATGCATGGGAATGATCCTCAAAGCCTTCTGCTTCTAATACCGGGTCACAAAAAGCCGTGTCTCATTCGCTTTGGCGGTAATCTGACTATTTGTCATCATGTTGCAATCGCAGTTTTTTACTAAGAAAAAAATGCTTTCGTTTCACCTAGAGCACTTAACACAGTGTGTGCCTTTGTTGTTGTTTATTGGGGCTTTAGGGCGCGTCGACTGCAAAGGTCATTTTGCGCCAACAGTGTGTCCCCGTTAGTCCACCATACCATAGCCTTCCCTAATCATTTCTGAGTCGCATCGTGAAAGAATTAAGGCGCTAGCACAGGGCTGACCGGCGCTACAGAGGTTTTTGTCCAGGCGGTCGGGTGCCGCAGTGGGCGCGCAGTGGGCGGGTGGGTGCCGCCGCGCGGCGGCGCCCGGGCCGCCCGCTGCGCCGCGGCACCCGACCGTGCCGGATGAAAACTTCTGTAGCGCCGGTCAGCCCTGTGCTAGCGCCTTAATTCTTTCACTATGCGACTCAGAAATGATTAGGGAATGCTATGATATGGTGCACTAACGGGCACACACTGTGTGAAGTGCTGTAGGTGAATTGAAAGCAAATATTTTTGGTAAAAAACTGCGGTTGCAACATGATTACAAATCGTTAGCTCACCGCCAAACCAAAATAGATACGGCTTTTTATGACGTGGCATTAGAAGCAGCAGGTTTCGGGGTTCATTTTCATGTATAATTTTTGCAGTTTGTATGACATGAACGCACGCTAGCGGCACTTGAATTTCAAGTACCTGACAGTCATTTTACGACATCGAAAATGTCTCGACTTCTGACAATCCTACACGAGGCCGGTTTTGACAAAAACATTAAAATCATACTTTTTCAGACACCTCAGCCATTTGCCTGACTGACCATATTACGATTTATTCGATTAAGTGAACTTGAATTTTGGGCCTTTTTCGTATTTATGGCCACTCGTGAACCCCATTTGCATCACTGTGCAGGGGGGGGGGAGGAGTCACAGAGGGACACCATACCTCCACAGGGGTATGGCCCGGCCAAGGCCCTATATACCGGCCCGGCCTGGGGAGAGAGATACCGCCCCGGCCGGATGGGGTTATAGCCTGGCCTGGGGAACAGAGGGACACCACATCAGTCGGGGGGGGGGGGGGGAGTCACAGAGGGACACCATACCACCACAGGGGCATGGCCCGGCCTGGGGAGAGAAGTACCGCCCCGGTCAGATGGGGTCAACGACGGCTAGATAATTCAGAGAGGTGTCAGCGACCGTCAGAAATAGTTCGGCTCTAGTTCGCTAGCGTTCTTGTTTAACAACAGTAACAGATGCCGCTGCTGCCGATAAATGTTATGAACAATGAGACTGGTGGTGATCACAACAGATTCCGCCTCTGATGACTGATGCGACTTCAAAGTCCGAAAATAGAGCTTCCGTTTGAAAGATGCCACTGTTTTGGATGCTTCAAAAGAACGTCAAGTTTGTGTGGCAGCGCTCGGCCAGTTTCAAACGCAGTGGGGGCCAGCGCTGACCAAAACACCCGGCGCCGTGCCGGCCCCGATAATCGACAGTTTACGGAGCCAGCCGACGGGGGACAGCCACAAACACAGACCGAGCGGCGGTCACACGGAGTCACAAACACAGACAAACGGAGCCACAAACACAGACTGAGTAGCGTTCACACGGAGCCACAAACACAGACTGAGCGACGGTCAGACGGAGCCACAAACAGGCTGAGTGGCGGTCACACGGAGCCACAAACACAGACTGAGTGACGGTCAGACGGAGCCAGCACCGTCCCAGTGACTCGGTCTGACTGACATCGCCAGTCACCAACCAGCCGGGCCCAGCCGGGCAGCCCGTGCACAGCCCCCCCCTCCCCCTCCCCCACCGGTGGGCCCCGCGATCGCGTGCGATCCGGCGGCCGCCGAGCCTTCCCAAACGCGGCTCCGCGGCCGGCGCGGCCGCCGTCCGCCGTCTGAGCGGCAGCCGTGGGGCCGCTACATGCCACCGGAAGGTGCGCGCCCGTGCAGACTGGTAGAAAACAAGGTGCCTCCGCGCATTGATATAACAGACTGAACTGAAACTGAACTGAACAGTTGACCAAGGTGATGTAAAATGAGACAGACTCAAAACTTACCTAATCAACCAAATTTTGAGCATAGCCCTCAAAACCCCTAAGCATTACGCATTACGTTCAAAAATCAAGAGCAGCGATAGTACAAAAAAGTACATCCACGACGCATCCCAGGTCGGTGAGGCTAGGGACCACCGACCGCCGGTGGCCGGGACCCACCTGGCTGGCCGCTTATCCTTGGCGCGCGCCGACGGCTTGGGACTGGCGTCGTGGTCTCCCGAGTAGCTGGAGACGTCGAGCGGTCGACCGGCCGCCTCTGCGCCGTCCTCCTGCTCGGCCACCGCCTCACCTGGGCAGAGCGGGGGGCGGGGGTGAGAGCGGAGCACATAGCAGGCACACCGGCAAACGGACGGGAGACGGACAATGTGTGCACTCTGCAGTGCTGCACTGCTCCGCTGGGCTGCCGTTTGGGGCGATCGAGTCGGCGGCGTATCGTGACGAGAGAGGGGCCGACCGGGCCAGGGGTCGTGTGACACCATGACAGCCACGGTGCCGCGGGCAGGTTCTACCGGTATCCAGGAGCATGGGACTCGGGAGAGCTGTGAGATCTGCGGCAGATCGGCTGCCGGCCAGTTGTGTGGCGGGGCAGGAGACGGGCGGAGTAATTCAACAGTTGGTTACAGGCGTCACCCCGGTCTGCGGCCGCGCCGGTCCCGGCGTGCCGAGGCGAGATCTGACGTAAGATCGATCACAGACAGGCAGTTTAAACAAAAACGGAGGCATCCCGCTGGGGTCATCAGGCCCGTGTCCGACATACCTATGGTCGCCTAAAAAGGTAATTATCTTAGCGTCAGCGGGCGGGAGACAAAGGGCAGACGCCGCGGCTCCGGGACCTCACTTGGGGTACACTCCTTCACCCGGGAATCGCACGCGTTTTATAGTGCTCCTGGATGTAAACATGTGTCGGTCGAAACTGCAACCAAAATAGCCACGCCATTCTCAACACACAGGACTGAAAACAAAAGAAAATCAACAGCAATAAGGAAAGAAATTATAGGTAACACAACTTGAGCACGAAACATCAGTAAAAAGCCAAGGAGCATATGTTTTCATCGAGACTAGCGAGGGAACCCAGCATTTTCAGGAAAAGGAGCCGGACGGAACTCGGCTGGCATTTATTTACCCGTCGTCGAGTGACGGGACACCCCAGACACCCCTGCCCGACGCGGGAGGATTCCCGGTACCGGCCGGTGAACCGGAGTCAGGTGTGGTGTGGGGCTCTGGCGCGCGGCGCGAGCTCCACATTCCGAGCTCAGCATTCCGGCGCCAGTAACAGAGCGCCCGGCCTGCACGGGCCGGAAACTGGCCGGCCCAGTCCGTGTCACCTCAGCACATAGCCGCGCGCCCGGGCTCCGACCGCAAACGTGCAGCCTCGACACATAGCGGCGGCATAGCAGCCTTCAGCCGTCATTACCGACACATAGCGCCGTGAGCGGGGCAACACATCTGTCCTCTAGCCCTTATTACCGGCACAAAACGGCATGAACGGAGTACCGCTCATAACCCTTAGTACCCACACATAGCGCAGTGCGCGGGGCGCCACCACCAGCCCCTTATTATCGACACGAGAATCCCATGCAGCGCTCAAGGTACCGCTGTGCTGTAACAGTATCGGCACGCAGCACATGTCACGGATGCGCTGTTCAGTCACTAACCACATGCTACAGCTGAGCCATCAGCTGTCGGTGAGGTACTGTACAGCGCGCTATAACACAGCACGCTGGAAACGCGACCCGTGTCGCCCGGCCGAGTGTTTCCGCCGCAGGACACGACGGGGGCATGCAGCACCTGCCATCAGCGCTGGACGGTCCACAGAAGCGTGCAGCGATTCCGGAAATGAACACCCGGCCCGACTCACAAACAACATCGCATGACCGCCCGGCATGCATGCGGTAATGTAACGAGAACGGACAGAAGAAACGGCCGAAATGCAGAGGGATAGGGGTGAGGTGGGAGAGAGGGTGTGGAAATGGGAATGCATTAAATAAAATAATGATGATGGTGACTTTAGCAGGTGTCACGGATAAATTCAGTTCAGATGTCTTTTCCCTTGCGAGTTTGAAATTAGCATTGTCTTCTTCGGGCATTGGGCCGAGAGCGACCACAGTCACACTGAACAGGCTCGGCCAACGGTAACAGGGACAGTAAGCAGTGGGACCGGGGCTGTGAGGGGGCGCAGCGGGCGCCGGTCAGGGGCCGTCGGCAGTCAGGGACTGGGACGCCGTCGGCAGTGGGACCGTCGGCAGTGGGACCGGGGCTGTGAGGGGACGCAGCGGGCGCCGGTCAGGGGCCGTCGGCAGTGAGACTGGGGCGCCGTCGGCAGTGAGACCAGGGCTGTGAGGGGACGCAGCGGGCGCTCGCAGAACGGACCCCGGCCTGGATACATACCGGCCCAGCCGACCTTCCGCAGAACGGCAGCTCATTTGTCATACTTATCAGCTATCTGTCCTAACGAAATGAGCCGACAACCATCTCTCGGTCCCGCAGTCCATCAGTATTCATACCGCATGACTTGGCGATTTTAGAACGGCATCACCGCCATTCCGGATCACTATTGGTAGACGTGGACAGCCTGGACCTCCGGAGCAAGGCCGCAGCAGCCAACAAAAACGACGAATGTTCAGCAAATCATGTCAAGATTGTGTGCCGAACATTCATAGTATATAGCAGGCCGTTCAGAGCCCAACGTTACACGACTGACCGTTCAGTAATGAACTGCAAATTATGATATAATTACAAATAAACGTTCAACTTTCAAAATAAGCGATTTGGTTCTAAAAACAAACAATGAATTATTAGCAATGCATTTCAGGAGAATACAGCCGATAGATAATATAGCCGAATATACAAAGCGACGAACGTCCAAGATGAAAATGAGCTCTTCCCACCTCCCATATTGCTCTCACATCTTCAGGTAAGCATGTAGCATGGAGGAGCCATGAGGTTGCATGAGCGCTAAGCTTACAGGGAAACTAGCTTGCCATATTTATCAACCAAATGAAATAAAATCGCAGTACGGATCACCAAGTATAATGACGCATCGGAGAGGCTCACTGAATCCATTGCCAATGGGCGGTACTTTGAGTCATACAGCCCACTGTATCACTGGCCGCGGGTTTCTGGCAGAGCACCAGGCAACAGCTCACCGCCAGCCCGGCAGGGGGACACCTCACACTTACCTCACACTCGCTCACTCACTCTCACCTGTTCACCCACCGCCGTGCCCTGGCACCGGCCGACCATCACTCACCGGCTCGAGAGTGTGCGGTAGCCGCCGCGCGGGCCGGCCGCCGCTCCATCACTCCCCAGTCGGCCCGCCGCGCTGCTGCCCCGGCCACTCACCGAGCTTACAGGCGGCGGCGGCGGCGGCGGCGGCGGCCGGCTGGTGGCCGCGCACGTCCCGGCCGCGAGCCATCCGGATCCGCGAGCGGCGCGACGACTTCTCGAACTCGTTCTCGGCGTCCTCCTGACTGACTGAGCTGGAGGCCATGGTGGCCGACGACATGGGCACGGCGGCACGGCGGCGGCCCGCCCGACGGTGACGTCACACCGCGCACCTGGGGACGGCGGCGGCCAGTCAGAGACGCGGGTGGAGCCGGGGGGGGGGGGGGTACTCGCCGGGGTACACTGACCGGGGGACACTGGGCCGGGGGGGGGGGCTGCACTGACCGAGGAACACTAGCCAGGGAACACTGGCCGGGGGTGTGGAGCGCGCCGCAGCCGGGGGGGGGGGGGGCACAGGGAGCGGCAGTGAGTGTGACCCGCCCGCGGACGGGCCGTGGGACCGCCGCGCCGGCCGCCCCGTCTGACGCACCGGCCCCGGTCGCCGCCTTTTCCGGCGGTGCGGCGGTCGACAGTTTTGGGCCGGTGCACGGCGGCAGGGCGGCGCTGACCGCACGCAGCAGCTGTGTGACCGCGAGATTGAGAGGGCACGGGATACAGCCCACCACACGGGCCACAGACAGAACATGCCACAGATAGGACAACACCGGAACAGTCACAGGCAGCCCATCCGGCCCGGGTGGGCTGTGGGCTAGAGGCCCGCCCTCCGCCCGTGGTAAGTCACCCAGTGCACTGGCCATGGCAGGCTATACCTTCGAACACTGTCACAGCACACCTCACTGTGTTGGCCCATCCGTCCCATCGTCTGTCCCATCGTCTGGACGGCCAACCCCGGGACGGGACGGGACGGGACGGGACGGGACGGGACGGGGGGGGGGGGCAGCGGACCGAGCCACCCTCCGCAACGACAACACATTCCCTTTGCAACCAGCTCGGAATACCGAGCGACACACAGATTCGCATCGGGGCGGTTGACTGAAACGGATTAAAATTCTCCGCCCGACACACGACAGGTCGCCAGTGGAGAGCCAGTTAGGAACTGAGTGCCGGCCGCGGTGTTAGCAAAGCACCGGGCATTGTTACCATGGAGGATGGGTGGGGCGACCGCCGACCGGCGCCGTGCGCTGTTCCATGGCTTCAGCGCTGACAAGTGACAAGGCGTTCCGGTCCACCAATGAATGAACGGAGTACGCAGCCTGTCAAACTGAGCCGGACCCTGGGTGATCACCGAACGGTGACGTCAGCACGTCACCGATCACCGATGTGAAGTTAGAACATCACCGATCGCCGGTATAACGTCAGCACATCACAATTCACCGATGTGAAGTCAGTATACGTCACCGATCACCGGCCTATGACGTCGGCACATTACCGATCACTGCTGTGTCGTCAATACGTCACCTATAACCGGCATGACGTCGGCACGTCACCGATCACCGGTCTGTGTCGTCAGCGCGTCACTTTCCACGGCGCGGTTGTTGCACAAAAGCCGCCCACAAAGACATTCCATTCGTGTTGGTCGGTCGGCCGGCAGCCAGGCGCGGCGGAGGGGAGGAGCGGGCGGCCACCGTGCCGCCCCGGCCGACCGTCTGCCGCCCCTGGTTCTCCTCCTGCTGCCATGCAGCTCGATCAAACACGGACCGGAGCTAAACGCGGGCGGCGGAAAACCCCACTCACCGTCCGCATTCCATCCGCCGACCCGACAGCGTGCAATAAATATAAACATCACAACTGAATATTCCATCCATCATACACTCGTGCCGTCCGTCAGTTCAATCATGTGACGGATACCGCCAGTTTTGCATAATGGTTCCTATGGCACACGAATGCTAAGGACGTGCTGCCGGCCCCTCACTGCGTGCTCCCGCTCCCGGATCACTCGACAGAGCGGTGCGCCAAACGCACCCCCCCCCCCCGACCTTCGTCATGCAGCGCGGTACTCCGCCCGATCCATGATGTGCCAGCGCCGGTGATTGATCGGCCGCCAGTGTACCGCCGCTCCGGCAGACACTCTGTTCACTCCGGACCAAACAGCGCGCGCAGCCTGTGTGACAGATCTCATCCGCTGGCTTTTAACCCGCGCCCTGCTGGGGGGGGGGGGGGGGGGGTGTTTGAACACCCCTCCTTGTGGTTTTTTTGCAAATATCTCAAAAACGGCGGCACGGAGCGCCGCCGTTTTTGGTACACCTTATCATACATCAATTCTACACATGATGTGAAAATTTCAGACCAAGGTCATTCAAGGTCAGGTCACCAGGTCACTTGAAGTGACCTCACCCCATAAAAAGTTTCAATGTCTGTCATAGCTACACCGAGTGACCGATCGCTTTGAAACTTTCAGCGATTGCTAAGAGCAATAGTATGTACAAAATGTATATCTCAGAATTTTGATATCGATGACCTAAGGTCAGGTCAATTTTGCGACCTCCCCATTATAAGTCAATGGGAGAAAATTGAAATGCGCCTCTTTTGGACGAAAGACATTATAAACACTCCCAAACACCGAATTACAAGTGATTTAGACACACTGAACATGAAAATGGTGTCCGTGACCCTTGTTTATGCCCTGAGGTCATCTTAGGTCACGAATGGTATCTAACAGTTTTTCGCAAATAACTTTTGATAGAGGCATGCTAGAGCGATGAAAACGCCTTATATGTGTTCAGCTCGACGATACGGATCGACTGATATGCAACATGACCCTTTCCGGTCAGGTCATGACCTTGACCTGAGGTCAAATTTTCAAGTTGACCTTTCAAGGTCAAGTTATAGTTCATTCGATGCGTCTTGACGAGAGGAACACGATGCCGGTAAAAGTAAGCTCGTACAAGGCTTGGGTCAAAAGTTATTGCAGAAAAACTTTCCGAAAAAATCGGCTATTTTTGCAGTTTTTGCCCCCTGCAGGCAAAACCGTTGAAGTTAGGTCAAATCTGAGCGAATTACTCAGAAAGGGCGTTAATAGGGCTATCGAATGCGCTTTTCCGCGGCGCTGTAGCTCTATTGGTTCCCGAGTTATGTGTTGGCTTCTTGGAAATTTTCGACATTCGACCTGGAAATCGGCGAAATTTTGCCTTCAATGACCTCTGGTGACCTGACCTTTGACCTGACCAAAATATTGACTGAAGTGATTTCGTCATCATTTTTGACGCTCTTTCGAACGCCGCCTTCCGCGTATCGCTACGTGGCTCAGGAGCCGAGTTACAAGGGGGGGGTGTTCAACCCCCCCCCCCCAGCAGGGCGTGGAAATCCAGGACCCCCAGCCGGGCGCGGGTTAAGCACTCGCTGAACCGTCTAACAATAGACCGGTGGGGAAACAGACAATGACAGGTGACCTTACGGAGAATGCGCCAGGTGAAACAGACCTCAGAAGTGCTACATTTCCGAGGCCCGTCTTGGCGCCTGTTTAAAACCCAAACAGGCAAATGGGATCTACTTTTGGATCCACCTCACACCCCTGCCGGTCGGATGGCAGCAAAGTCCGGGTTCACTCCGCCGGGTCCAGTCGGGCCTCCTGCCCCGGTCGAGTCGCTCCCCCCGCCCGGACGGGTGGACGGACGGTAGGTCGCCGGGTCGGTCCGACGGGCCCCTCCGAGCCACCACAAAGCAGCCGGCCGCGCCGCCAAGGCCGCGCGGCCGCTCCGGATACGGCGCGATCGCGGCACAATCGCCGCTGCCATCGGCGGCGACGGCGTCGTGCTGCCGAGTGCCGACCAGCGCCGGGCGACCGGGTCGACCAGGTGACCACCCGGCCCGGACTTCCCGACAGGTCAGCGGACAGCCCGAAGGCGTCAGCCGGAGACACGCCCAGCGCTCCCTCACACCCTCCGGTAGGAGCGCCACACCCTCGGCCGTTCCGGGCGGTCCGAGCAGCACCCCGCCCCGAGCGGCACTGGTCATCAGGTGTGTGCCGGGACTCCGGAGGAGCTGAGTGCCAGCGCGCCCGCCCCGGGGCGCCGCGGACAGCGCCCGTCCGTCTCCGGTGTTCCCCGGTCCGCCGCCGGAGCGCGCGGCGTGTGTCCCAGCTCGGCCGGAGCGGCCCACCGGCCGGCGGTTTTCCGAGTTCTCGTCGGACCGGCCGCCGGCGCCGCACCAAATGCGGCGGCCGCGCGCCCGAACGGGCGGCCGCGCTCGGCGGCAGCCTCCGCGGCACGCGGCTCTGAGTGGCTCCCGACCGGCCGCTAACGAACCAGATACGCCGCGAAGGATGGGACGACTCCGCGATATTAGCAGCGGCGAGCGTCCACTCTGGTCAGCGACGGCGGACCGAGGTCACGGACAGTGTCCCAAAATTGAGTTTTGTCTTAGGTGTCAGAGGGGAAAATTACCCACCAAAAAGAGGGGAGAGAGTGGAAAACTGCTGATTCGATTAGATCCAAAAGGAGTGAGAAATGACAAAAAGCATGCATTTTATTCTAGGGTGTAGAATGTTTGATGCTAACTGGGCATCCACACAACTGTCTTTCTATAGGTAAAAAATCTAAGTTTTCTTGGTTGGGACCTGGGAGTGGAAAATTGTTCTTAAAAATGGTGGTGAGAGTGGAAAATGAATTTCATTTGGATGCCGTTTCCCACCCAAATAGACAAATTTTGGGACATTGGTCACGGATCATAGCAGGACCATGTATGGGCGCCACTAATCCATGGTGCGACAGCGGACAGGACTGGGCGATAGTACGAGCACACATCATCCACTGTGAATGAACGGAACGTGTTGAGCACGCATGGTATATGTTGGAGGTGAGAACAAGCAAACAAATAATTAAATTTGGAACATACATCAATATCCACTGAAAAAGATTCGCTTTTTAATCTAAATGAGCGTTTACATACTCCTTTTGCGCAAAGCTATCGATCAGGTGCGGCGCACTGTTCCTCAGAGCAGTACAAATACGGTCACAGGTGACACGAAGGCACGCCATTCTGACATGTCCATGGCATCACCACACCTGCTGCGCTCACATCGGAAACCGTCGGTAAGCCTTATCACCACGTCAAAGCCACCGGGTCACTCATTCTCCACCGAGCGTTCCCCGCCTGCGCCCGGACCGGACGGTGGCCGGGCCCCATCCGCCCCCTCCCGGGCACAGCACAACACCGCAGTGCCCGCTGCCATGGGCCTGCTATCCGGGTCATTGGCGATGCAATGAGATGCGCGGCGCGTGTCGCGGGGGGACGCCGAGCCCCCCCCCCCCTCAGGTGGAGACCGGGCCGGGGCACGACGCCGGCGGCCCTGGCCCGCTGGACCAGTGCGGTGGCGACGCGCCCGTGGGCGCTGCATGCATTGCAGAGTGAGGCCATATGGTACGGGGGCCGAAGGAAACGGCGCCGGCCCACCGATTACTCACACCGAGGTGCGAGACTAAACAGTACAGAACGCAGAGGGGCACTTACATCGGAGCATGCTACATATGTGGCGTTCAATGTGCAAGTAACACAAACGGATCTACAATGCATGCCTTCAAGAGGCCAAATGTAATAAAAGTTTGTTTAAAAGAGAATTCCTCTAGTCTTATATCTCCTGGAAAAATCTCTAAGAGAGCAACAGCTCCGTAAAATGTCAACCAATACAATTGGTTTGCAATAAGCCTTAGTGAAAACAAATGAATGCCCAGTTCTTCACCCTTCATCATGCCAATTAGTGTCGCCCCACAACACCTGAAACATCTTAACCCTATTACTGGTGGGCTCTCTGGACTACGTTAACTGGTGGGGGTGGGGGGTGCGATTCGGCCCCCTTTATATCTCAAAAACTAAACGTCCGATCTTGATGGGACAAACGCCATTCGATTGCTTTTATCGTGGACTTTCAGACTGACTGTAAAAAAGGAAAAAAGTTCAAAATTGGCGGTCCTGGAAGCATACATGTTCGAAAAAATGCGTTTTGCACCTCAGCACTAAAAATGCTATGACTTCTTTCTTTTTTGACCGATATTTATGAAACTTTAGGGGACCCTTCTTCCTGAACTGGGACTTCATTTATACTCCAGTATTTTGGGTATTTGAAAAAAAACATAGGCGGATTCAGGCAAGCTAACTTGGGATGATGTTTTGAGCTTTTGTCATGGCATGTCATGTGTCTTATGACATGATGTGTCATATATCATGTAGAGCAAGATACACGTTTTCATGCAGCAAAGGTGGATTCAGGCAAGCTAAGACGGGGGGCAGTACATCAATATCTCCCTGTCTCAGGTACGTGGATCTGCCTATTCCAGTACTTTTATTGTAAAATGACGTCACAGTCTATAGGTGCATACATATGACGGGTGGTGCCACTGATCAACAGAGCAAACCTAAGTAAATCGCTGCTTAGCGGAAAATGTCGCGTAACAGTCAAATCTGGGCCAAAACTACCCCCGACTCCCGAGAAACTCGTCCTGGAGACACCTCTGCGCAAGCTAGAAACTAAACAATTTAACAGAATGTGCCCAATGAATAGCAAGAAAAAGTCACCAAATTTTGAGCCCCTAGCTTAAGTGGTTTTCTGTCGAGAGGAAAAAAACTACAGGTGGGGCCAAATCCCCCCCGCCCCCCAGTAGTAGGGTTAATTGTGCCTGGCACTGTCTTTGCAAGAGAGCATGTTGCAAAAAAAAAAATGAACAAAAATATCTCAGATCACTTCTGGTTAAGTGCTGCCTTTTATCAATGTAGAATAGAATAGTGGTTACAGATTTTTTTAGGACGGTCAACAAAGGACCTGTAGGAAATTCGGTCATTTGCTTCTCCCATACTCCAACCATGTAGCTTTCAGCTCATCCTGGCACCACATGCTTAATCAGTTCGCAGGGTATACTTCCTGTTCACCCACAGCTTGTCGAGACGGTTCTTGAATGTGTTCAAGACCTATCTGACCTATCTGCTCTATAGACTCTATAGACCTATCTGCTCTTCGTCCGACTCGGCATCCCTGCAGGAGGACCTGGACGCGGCACTTCACTGGGCAGACAGGTGGCAGCTGGCATTCAACCCTGGAAAGTGCAAGGTGCTCCACATCGGCGGAGGCAACCAGCACTACACATACCGGATGGGGGGAACTACAGTCGCGGAGTCGGATGTCGAGAGAGACCTTGGCGTCCTCATGGATACCCAGCTCAAATTCCGGAAGCAGGCTGCTGCGGCCGTAAGGAAGGCAACACAAGTGATGGCAGTGATCCGTCGGTCCTTCCACCTTCGACAAATCAACCCTCCCCCTGCTCCTCAAGGCCCTTGTCCGACCCCACCTTGAGTACGGGAACCTAGTGTGGGGTCCCTTCAACCGGGCGGACCAGCGGCTGGTAGAGCGGGTGCAGAGGCGGGCGACCAAGCTGGTTCCCGATCTTCGACACCTCCCGTATCGAGAGCTTCTGAAAGTGCTGCAGCTACCAACGCTGTACTACAGACGGAGGCGTGGAGATATGATCGCGGTTTATCAGCTGCTCCGCGGTGGACTTGACATGGACCCTCGCAACTTCTTCGAGATGGCAGCCGACAGAACTCCTGCTACAAGAGGACACCAATGGAGACTAGCCAAGCCGCGAGCGGTCTCCAGGATTCGGCGCAACGCGTTCTCCATCCGGGTCATCAACGACTGGAACAGCCTACCGTCAGTGGTCGTCGCATCCGACACCCTGAACCAATTCAAAAACCGGCTTGACGCTCACTGGGCACACCATGCACACGACATCCCTCACGCAGATGAATAGTCAGACGCACGAGGAGCTCGACTAGAAAGGTTTCTAAAGGCCTAGTCTGGCCTATCCAAATTCTGTACTTCGTAAGTAAGTAAGTAAGTAAGTTCAAGCTTGGTGCCGCAACGACGTCTGCAGGGAGACTGTTCCAGCTGTCCACTATGCGATGACAGAAAGAGGTCTGGCGAAGATGGGAGTTCACTCGTCTCTTCTTCAGTTTCAGATGGTGACCACGCGTTCGATCTGAGGTGTCGAGCTGCAGAAGGTCGGCTACTTTCACTCTCAGGCATCCTGTCAGAATCTGGTACGCCATTATCATATCTCCTCTCATCCTTCTATAGTACATGGAGGGGAGGTCCAAGGCTCAAAGTCGATCCTGGTACTGAAGGTGACGCAATGGACGAACCAGCTTAGTTGCTCTTCTTTGGACCCTCTCAATGGCATCCTGGTCCGCTCTGAATGTAGGTCCCCACACCACATTTGCATACTCAAGGTGAGGACGCACCAGAGTCCGGTAGAGGAGAGGCAGAGAATGACTGTTTAGGGCTTTGAAAGCCCTCTTCACCAGTCCAAGAGCTCTGTTCGCACGACCCACGGCAGCCGCCACCTGTTCATGGAACTTGAGGTCTTCATCAATGACGAGTCCAAGGTCCTTCTCCATACAGTGTCCCAAAATATTTCGATTTGGGTGGGAAACGACATCCAGATAAAAATCATTTTGCACTCTCATCTGTAATATCTAAGAGCAATTTTCCACTCCCAGCTTTACTGAGAATAAGCATCTGCATTGGTCATTTTACATATTAGGTACATTTTACCTCATTATATAGAAATGTATGCCATTGATCTCTTTTCCACTCATTTTGGGCCATATCTGACTGGGTAATTTTCCACTCTTATCCCCCTTTTTGGAGAGGAATTTTGCCTCTGACACCCAAACCAAAACACAATTTTGGGACACTGTCTCCATATGCACCTGAGCTAGAGTCGAACCGTTCATCAGGTAGCTGAAGTGCTCGTTAAAGGACCCTAGGTGCATCAGCTTACACTTATCTTGGTTAAAGGGGAGCTGCCACCTGTCTGCCCAGCGTCCCAGGGCATCAATGTCCTGCTGCATGAGAGCCTTGTCCTGAAGGGTGGTCACTTCTCAGAATAAATGAGTTATTAGAAACTGGTAAGGGCAAATCCAGCTTCCTAGGACATGGAGGTTTGCAGACGTTATTTAACGAGGCATGGGTGGAGAACCTGCCCCGGCCACCCCGGCCGTGGCCGGGGTAACTTTCAGCCGACCCCGGCGCGGCCGGGGTAACTTTTTCCACTTTTGTAATTCCTAAAAGCTGTCTCCATACGAAAAAAAACTGCCATCTATAAAAATGTCTCATTATTCTTATCTACCTTGAAAAGTTCTTGAAAATTTACTTTATTTTCATTTTGGAGCTTCTATGTTTTTATGTCTTTTCATCCATGTTTCATTAAACAGAAGTACCTAAATCATATTTAAGTGCCGTTATCGTAAGATGGCACTGTAATAACATCAAAAGACAGGACGAGGGTGATATCAGTGAGATAGAAGGACGAGCTGCTGGGGCTCAAGGCTCCCCCAACTTAACCCGCGCCAGGGTGTTGGCCTTATCGTAACACGTTGAGTCGAGAGGTGGGCTTTTCACGCTCCTTCTAACTCGGCTACTGGGCTACGAGGCGAGAAGCGGAACGACGTTTGAAAGAGAGACAAACGTGATCTGAGAAATCTGGTCATGTTTTATGCAAGCTCAATAATAAAATCACCATAGATCATCAAAAGCCAAATTTCTCTGATTTTACCGTTCTCCGACAACTTTTCTCACAGTTCATGAACATAACGGAGCTTAAACACTGCAAAGAAAACATTCGATTACTCGTTTAAGGCTCGGTCGCGAATAATATTTCAGGTGCGAGCTCAAATCAATAAGAGGGTCAAAACGGTCAAATTTGACATTTTGTTTTGTGTGGGAGGGTTGCAACTTCCACGGAACAAGCTTTGCAAAGGGCATGATGGCATTTTTAGCACGATCATCCAGCAAATTTGACCTGATGACCTGACCTAGCACTAGGTGACATGCGTCCGAAATTTTAAGGCGTGTTGCAAAATTGTTGTTACAATTACGAAATCTTCCGCACCTGCGTGCAGCAGTTTTCCCTAAAAACGTACAAACGGCAGACATCCATTATTCTATGCCACAGAATAGGGGTTTGTTGATAACCGTTGACAAATATTTGAGCATCATCGTCTTTCTGACTTTCGGTCGTCGGCCGGGGTAACTTTTTCAAACATTCTCCACCCGTGTAACGAGGTATAACTCGAAATCCTTACCTTTTCGATAACTTCTATCTATGATCTGATAAATGGACTCACTTGTATGCAAGTACTGAACAACTTAAATAGCTTATCTTGATTTAATACCGCTAATTGCCGCCTCTCACACCACAAAAAAAAAGAAACCAAAATACACCATTCACCCCAACGTCAACTGCCCGAATGGAAATGTGTTCAAGGCCTTCGATTTGTGTGTTCAAGGCGCCGTGCGTATGTTCGATATGCTGTTCGTTTGCAGAAGGAAAATCGTTTTTCTCAGAACAAATGAAAATATCCCACAGCACGACAATTTTTTTCAGCGGGTAAATACGTATATAAACGTATTTGAATTTGAAGCTAAGTATATAAACGTATATATAAGGATATAAAAGTATATAAACGTAAGTTATGTAATACTTTCTCTAGAAATACGGCAGCATCTAAAATGGTGCTTCACACACTGGGCATAAGTGGCGCACAAATTACAAAATTGAATTGTCAGTCAACTGTCAAGTCCACGTGTGTGCCTGTCCGCTTGCCTGTCCGGAGGGATATGAAATTATACGTTGTTGTGTTTGCAAGTAATTGCTGAATTCCGGTACATACACACTAACCAAGATGGTCAGAAAGAAAATAGATAATCGCATACGCATCCTGATTGAAAATGGAGTTGCATCGGGACATAGAACAATGTTTGTTGTTGTGGGAGACAAGGGACGAGATCAGGTAAGTTTTGTATAAAGTATGGAGCATTTTGTGTGTTTGAATCCCTGAGTGCTCCACGAGTCTGCAGCCAGGGCCCTGTTTCACCGGTGATAGCAGCACGCTGCCATCAAATTGCGCGATCTGACGGATTGTGATAATGTCATACTAATGATGTTTTGTGTAATCTATGAGCTTTTTCATAGCTGCGTTTGGAACATAGTTGCTGTCTCGTTGAATGCGTTTGATACATTTGTTTGATTGCACGGCCGTGAAGATGTTGGCAGCAATATTTGATGACCTCACACAGATTGACGATCACGATGTCATGGTTTGTTGATGTTTCCATGGAAACCCAATTTGACACGTGTAATAGCAGCATGCTGCTATCACCGGTGAAACAGAGCCCAGTCTGCAAACTATGACAATTTTGACGAAATCTCGTCAGTACGGGCTTGTTCGGCTGGTGCGGATTCGGTGTGGTGTGGTGCGGTGCGGATTTAGTGTAGTGCTGTACGGAATTGGCTTAGCGACGAACATGACAGACCAGACAAGATAGATTAGGAAAATCGAAGAAAAACATTGTTGGAGTTTCAACGTGTAATCCAGTGTGCTCTCGGGCCTAATGGAGTGTGGGGTGGTCAGAACGGACTGTGCCAGCGCTGGTGGTCCCATCAATCACGTAGGTTGCCCGCAAGTTCACACACACTCTTCGCACTGTTACAACACGAAACGCACCACTCGGCTCTGTGAGCCGTGAGGCGCCGGCGGTAGAGTGAGAGAGATGAGCGGGGAGATGGGAGGGACTCGAGGACGAGATGTGCACGGCCGATCACGATGGCAGGGCTACATCACCGCTCCACCGCTTCAAGGGGTCTATGTGAACGAGTTATCGGGTATGTTCAGCGCAGCTACTAATCGAAATAATCTGAGAAGACAGGGCTGGAGAAGACTGAGCGGATTACTAGGCCCGAGGGTCCTGGCCATGCACTGTAAGGTACCTAACATGCGACGATGTACGTTCGCAGGTAGTTTGTTCATTGAGTCGTCTGATGAGAAACAAAAGTTTTGCATGCATGAACTTCATGCATGCAAAAAAAGTTCAGTATGACGATCGAGGTTCAGTGCTCCGGAATCTGGGATCATTGCCTATTACCGGGTGCTGGTGTTACATCGACCGATATTCTCGATATTTATATGTTTTGGAATTGAATGACATAATACGGCATGGCTGCAGAAGGCCTCGGCCAAGCGGCACGGGCTAACCTCGGGCCCCCGGCGGAGGTGTGCACTGTGCAGCCTATCTTCAGGGAGCAGTCAGTACCTGAAATCATTTAATTCTGACATCGTATGTCGCTTAGGCTTCCGTAAGTGAATCCTCAGCGAAATTTATAAATTATGTTAGTGGAAGCTGAAGCAGTATCAGGTAGCAATAGAAATACCTGCTTTGTGTGAAACAGGGGCCGAGGTGGGCTGTGGCCAGCGTTGCGGACTGCAGAGATATAACATTTCTGGTCGGCTCCGGCACGCAGTACAGTGCTCGGTCGGCCCAGTTGACTTCATTCCTTCCTGTGCCACCGTTCACTCGGGTCACCGCGATGTTCCAGGTGGTCATCCTGCACCACATGCTCTCCAAGGCCAGCGTCCGCGCTCGGCCCAGCGTGCTCTGGTGCTACAAGAAGGACCTCGGCTTCAGCAGCCACCGCAAGAAGCGCATGCGGCAGCTGCAGAAGAAGATCAAGTCTGGCAACCTGAACGTGAACGAGGACGACCCGTTCGAGCTGTTCGTGGCGTCGACCAACATCCGCTACTGCTACTACAAGGAGACGCACAAGATCCTGGGCCAGACGTACGGCATGTGTGTCCTGCAGGTGAGAGGGATTATCGGACAGGTGTACAGTCTGTGCGTGCAGCTCCTTCACAGTATGTTACATGGCATGCATTAAACATTGCGTGAGGCGTACGTTGCCGATCTTTAGACGCCTGAGTTGTGTGTACATCCACAGCTGGCTGTTTTCTAGATTTTACCGATCTTTATTCCGTCTTAGCCCATTTATGATTTGCTTTTTTTCGTCAGCATAAAGACCGTGCTGAGTGTGTTGCTACTCGTAGGTTGCTGTTCCCCGCTCGTGGCCGGCCTACCCTGCGCCCGGCTTGTCGGTGGCAATTTTAATCGAAAGCTTAACGCATTGGAGGTAGATTGCGACACGATCCTTTCGGGTCTAGCGTGCCTCCCCTCTCGCCATTGTTTTGTTGGGTTAGGCCCTTTCGGTCTGACAAGACCATTGCAGAGCCGGAAGGATGATACGAATTAGGGGGAGACATTGGTCTGGGCAGACACCCTAGAGGGTCGCCGGGGCTGAGCCCGTCCGAATGGACAGGCCGACCAGCCCCCAAGCACTCTCTGCACCCGGCTACGGGGAGCGCTCCCTCGGGAGCAGCGGTCAATTGGCAGCAGCGGTCAATAAGGCCAGCTGCCAATTGGCAGCTGGCCTTATATAGGAACCCTAAAATATCTGAATCTGGGAGCAATAGGAAACGATGTGGAGCTCTTGGGCCGCGAACTCGCCGCCGACGGCGCGTCAGGAGACGGCGTTTTTGAGTCGCTGACGCCTACCGGTTCCGGCAGGACTTTGAGGCGCTGACGCCGAACCTGCTGGCGCGCACGCTGGAGACGGTGGAGGGCGGCGGCGTGATCGTGCTGCTGCTGCGCTCCGTCACCTCGCTGCGCCAGCTCTACACCATGAGCATGGACGTGCACGGCCGGTACCGCACTGAGGCGCACCAGCACGTGGTCGGCCGGTTCAACGAGAGGTGGGTGACGCCGCGCACCGGCCGACAGGGGTGGGTGGTATCGTAACTACAGCACGTGCAGTCGGCGAGAGGTGGGTGAGGGCGCGAACCGCCGTACAGGGCAGGAAGGCGGGGGGGGGGGGGACTGCACCAACAGCACGTGGTCGGCAGGTTCAACGAGAGGTGGGTGAGGTTGGGGACCGGCCGACAGGGGCAGTTGTACCACACGAAGAATGGACTGTTTCTCTCGCACGGAGAGTTTCTGACGGGAGCAGAGGGGTGGAATCAGGTAGTGGATAATTTTATCGCACAATACGGACGATGTGAGTCTGATAAGAACTTAAGCAGGTATTGAATCGCCATCCGATGAAACAAAGTCGCCCTGTTATTTTCATCAAATGCCCCGGCTCCTGCCGCCCATACTCTGACCGCCGGTCCGGCTCCCGCCCGTACTCTGACCGCCGGACCGGCTCCCGCCCGTGCTCTGACTGCTGGTCCGGCTCCCGCCCGTGCTCTGACCGCCGGACCGGCTTCCGCCCGTACTCTGACCGCCGGACCGTCCCCCGCCGCCCGTGCTCTGACCTCTGGACGGTCCCTGCCGCCCGTACCCTGACTGCTGGACCGCCCCCGCCGCCCGTACTCTGACCTCTGGACGGTCCCTACCCTCGCGCCAGGTTCATCCTCTCTCTGGCGTCATGTCGGCACGCGCTGGTGATGGACGACCAGCTGAACCTGCTGCCGCTCAGCTCGCACGTGCTGCAGCTGGAGGCGCTGCCGAAGCGCTCGGCGTCCGACCCGCCGTCGGCCTCCGAGCGGCAGCTGACCGAGCTGCGAGACAGCCTGCAGGACACGCAGCCGGTGGGCGCGCTGGTGGGCTGCTGCCGCACCGCCGACCAGGTACGAGTACTGTCTGTCAGAGGGAGCGGGGGGAGGGTGGGCGCGCTGGTGGGCTGCTGCCGCACCGCCGACCAGGTACGAACGGGGCCCGTCCCGGGGGGAGGGGGGGGGGGAGCTGGTGGGCTGCTGCCGCACCGCCGACCAGGTACGAACGGACCAGGACGAATGGGGGGCTGCTGCCGCACCGCCGACCAGGTACAAACGGGGCCAGTCCCGAGGCGTGAGGGAGGAGCGGCGAAGGAGTTGTTCAGCATGCGTGTTGCGATCGAGTTCTGCTCAGTGGAGCCGTTGGCCGGCCAACAAATAAGCAGTTTCTACTTTCTCGGGGGGGGGGGGGGTGTAGTGTGATGAGTAGAGCAGTTTGCGTGTCCGTCGTGCCTGTTCCTGAATGCTCCCCTCCACCCATTACTAAACTCCCGCCTGGTCGGCGACAGGCCAAGGCGCTACTCAAGTTTGTGGAGGCCATCAGCGAGAAGCGTCTGCGCTCCACCGTATCTCTGACGGCCGCCCGGGGCCGCGGAAAGTCGGCCGCGCTCGGGCTGGCCATCGCCGCGGCCGTCGGCTTCCAGTACTCCAACATATTCGTCACCTCGCCGAGTCCCGAGAACCTGAACACCCTGTTCGAGTTCGTGCTGAAGGGCTTCGACGCCATGGACTACCAGGAGCACCTGGACTACGAGCTGATCCAGAGCACCAACCCCGAGTTCAACAAGGCCGTGGTGCGCGTGAACGTCTTCAAGGAGCACCGGCAGACCATCCAGGTAGGGCTGTGTGACCGGTCGGCGCCGGCGCCGACCGGTAGCGGCGGGATGCCACTAAATGTGATGCAGCCGCGCCACCAGTGTTACCAGACTAGCCGAGCTGTTCGGAGGTCTTTTGGACTTGGAGGTGATAACGGGCTACTCATGTAACGCTTAAGTCGCACTGTGATAATCTGATGGTGTGATGTGACTGACGCCACGGTGAAATGATACTTACGTCACAGTTTCTTGACTTCCCCCTGTTCCCAGTACATCCACCCAAGTGACTCGGT